GTTGTAGTGTAGATAATATATTTTGCTTATCGCTTCGCCTCGATCTCCAGTATTATTCCACACTCTGTCCCAGGACATATAGGAACTTATGAGTACCATGCCATATGGTAATATATTTTCTTTGTGGTTTAGAGTAAACTGTTACGAGTAGTTCTATGGTTGCATATTCATCAAGGCACTTCTGTTTTCGTGCATATCATGCTATACCACTATACGCCATGATGCACACAGGGCTTTGTTGGAGATGAATTGAAACACTGTTATGTCATATCATGTGCTAGTGCATGTACTGACTGCGGTTAGACGACAGCGAGGTATTGCATGCTGGTGTTGGTACTGTTGAATAGGTACTAGCAGCTTCAAGTGCACTTGTGCATCATGTGTTTGACAGGCTTTTGTCAAGCATCGTGTTCATAGAGTTACATCTGTGCACGACTAAAGCGCTTCGCGTCGTGCGTGTTGGCCGCAAGTGAAGAGAGCCGACGAATTCAACCGGTCACTTAGAGCGCAGAAAAGAAGAAGAACCAAAGAGGTGGAGGCAGGGAGGCTTTGCGGGGGGATTGATCCCTCTGAGAAGCTCTGAACGCTTCGGCAGGGGCCCGAGGCGAATTTGGAATGCAAGCAGCCATGACGATGATTCCAGTATCTTACTGAAACATGCCGACCATTGCTCAGAGGAGAGGGCGTTGGCCGGCTCAGGGAAGGTCTGTAAGGATATGCTGTGCTGATTCCTGTGCTCAAACACCCAACTCCCAAAGAACAGAGGAGCTGCCTGTTGTCCGGGCAACCCGAAGGTGTCCGAAGGGCACGAAAAAGAAAGGCCAGGCAGCTTCGTCGTCGTCCTCCTTGCGGCCATCGACATCAGTACCAGCATCACCAGCATTGCATCATGAGCAGTCATCACACTCACTCAGAATTTCGATAGTACTTTGGAGTGATCACCAGCAAGCGAACGATTTCAGGTGTCTTTGGCTCAAGTTCTCGCAGCGACAACCTAACTGCCGCCGGGTGTGGAAGGCTCGTCCGTCAGTTGGTGTCAGCCACCTGCTCTTCCGAATTGCCCTCTCGTCATTTGCCGCGGGTTGGCCACGTGGGGTTAGGTCATCAGTTCTCGCCTCTTAGATGCCTGACTGCTGTTCTTGCTCTTTAGCGGATCACTCACCGGTCCCTGCCCTGTTGCAAGCCGAAACCCCCAGCCTCAACCTGAAACCTCGGACTTCCGACCTCGATTTCTAAAAAGTCGTGCCTAAGCCTCATCCCAACTGATAGTGATGGTGACGACCGACAATTCTGGCAACGAGAGCCTGAAGCCCTGATGCCAGGAGATCCCGTAGAAGCATGCGAGCCGTCGCGTGGCCCTCAGCTTTGAATCGCAAAAGCACCGAAGCACCGAAGCCCCACACTCCCGCTTGGCCACGAACCCTCCTGAAATCCGGAGCCTTTCAGGTGGCCGGCGCCGTGCTGGGTTACCTCGCCCTGTCTCTGTGCGGATGCGCAACCTCAGGCGCAAAACAATGCAACCTGCACATGTGTATATATACATATATATATATATATTAATATAAATATGTGCACACACACAGACACCTGTAAAAAGTGTATGTATGCATGTATGCATGTCTGATCATGTATGCATGTTTGCGTGTCTGTCTGTCTGTCTCTCTCTGTCTGTCTGTCTGTCTGTCTGTATGTCTGTCTGTCTGTCTGTCTGTCTGTCTGTCTGTCTGTGTGAAAATAACACGTCCCTACTT